AGGAGGGTTTTGATGGGCAGAGGAAACAGCAAAAGCAAGACCACGAGAGGGCAGGGTGGCTGCTGGGAATGTGAATCAGATGTGTGTAGCTGGGAGGAGGGCAGCCTGATCGCGGCTGGAGATAAGTCTGAGCTGTTGGCTGGGCAGGTGCTGTGAAGGGCCTTGAAGGATCCACTCCGGAGTTTGGGATGTCAGCCTAGGCACTGGGGAGTCACTGGAGGAAAGACAACTGTGATAGAAAATTGTCAGACACAGAAGCTCTGGGTTTGAAATCTGATTCAACCATTTACTTGCTCTTTGACTGGGCAAATTAGCCACCCTGAGCCTCAGTTTACTCATCCATACAGTACCTTCTTGCTGGGTTGTGAGGACCAAGTGTGATAATAAAGAGTGTGAGAGCTCAGTAACTCTAATATAATGTCTTATTTCATGTCATGCTACTAGACTGGACATTGTGAGAGTCAGGGACTCTGTCTTCTTCAGGCCTGAATGTGAACATCTTGTCCAGTGCCAGCCATGGAGAAGGTGCTGAGTGATTATTTGTTGAATAAATGAACAAGCAACTAGATCTCGATACTCAGTACTTACTCAATAATTATTGGTTGAAATCTGAATGGAAAGGTTTTATGATAGAACAGCCCTGATCAGATCCTGGTCTAGAAGCGTAACTTTGGCAACCAGGTGGGTGGGGAGGTTGGAGGAGGCAGAAACGGGAACCAGGGAAACTCCTGGCAGGCTTTGCAATAATCTATGGTAATGCCGCTCTCATCAAGATAGGACATGCTGTACACCAGAAACTGACACATTGTAACTGACTATACTTCAAATTAAAAAAGAGAGAAAGATAGGACGTTCTGTTGGAGGGAGAGCAGATGGAGGGTGAGGCAAGGAGTAATCAGCCCAGTTTGGACCTGTTGAGAGTGAGGCTCTAGTGGGTAGGGTTGGGTACCTGTGAGCTGGTGCAGGTGTCCATCTAGAGCTCCCCGGGAGAGAGTTATGAGCCTGGGTCTGGCAGGTGTAGTTGACAGCACTGGTGTAGGTGAGACTAAGCTCCCAGGGAGAGAATGGGCGCAGGGTGGAGGGCAGTGGGTGATATTGAGAAAACAGTCAACGGCTGAACCCTGGAAAGCCCCACTGAGCCAAAGAGAAGACCGGGTCACAGGCGGACTGAGAGAGTAGTTCCTGACTTGTTTGTGTCGGACTGCGATTTCAGGCAGTAAGGCTGTGATGAGAGCAATCAGGGGTCAATGCTCTGTACGTACTACTGCAGAGCGTTCAAGGCTTGGGTTCTGGGTCAGATCGGCTGGGCTGATTCGGCTCCACCGTGAACTAGCACGTCTGACTATGAGCTCATTACTTACCCTGCCAGAACCTTCTTCTCTCTGTAAAAGAGAGACAATAACCACAGGTTCCTCATCCATTTGTAGGGATTAAATGAAATGATGCACATGAATTTACTAGGACAGTGCCCGCACATACAGGCTAATAATGGTTTCAAAACAGGTTTCAAGGGTGAGTTGGCACCTCACCCAGTTTTCAGTCTCTGAATATGTTGGTCGGTATATGAGGCCCCAAATCTGATCTCGGACACCCCTCCATTGGACGGATGAGGAAACCTGAGGTCCAGAGTTGCTCAAGATCCCACACCAAGCTGGAGGTGGAGCTGGGACTAGAACACCAGCTCCTGGCTTCCGTTTTTGTATCACAGCTTTTCTGGAACACAGACCCACAGGGCGGATTTAACAAGGGGATCTGGCCACATGTCAGGATCGCATCTGAGAAAGGAAGAAAGCTTAAAATAATGTCTTTCATCATCTGACTCTCTGAGACAGGGAAGTTGCCCATCCACCATTCCAGTGGGGCTTTCTGAACCCACCCCCGCCACGATGCCGTGGCTTTGAGGCTCCGGATGCTGCAGCTTCAGGTCAGGCTTCTCTTCCTGGGATCAGGGACAAGAACAGCCAGTTCCCATCCTTTGTGTGTTCACTTTCAGAGGCTTAAAAGGCTGTTGCTCAGGTTCTTCCCTACCGACTTCTCCCCTCCCCCAGCCAGGTTATCACTACTCTTGATTATTCACAGAGAAGAGGTGCAGATAGGGTCATTAGGCACTGAAAGGAACCCAGTCTTCCTCCCTCTGGGACACTGGAGCTTTGGTCTTGATCTTTCCCTCCTGGAGGCTGGCCAACTTATTGTATCATATGTGATCTTCGCAGAGGTCTAGTCCCAGGGTCCTCGCCAGCACAGTCTCCTTTTTGCTGGCTTCTTACACATGGCTGCCTTCCGAGCCTAGATCCATTGACAGGTCGAGTGGTGTAGAGACAGAGACACTGAATAGGCGTTAAGAGGCTTTGAAAGAATGTAATGAGCTGTAATGGAACATGTTGCTTCCCTCAGTTTTCTCATCTTTAAAATGGGGGAATAATTCCTGCTCTCAAGGTTATAGAGAAAACTAGGTGACGCGTTAAAAGGGCTTTGAAAAGCCCTATTCAGATGTCAATTTTCATACTATTTGGACTGGCAGGAAGCAGCACCCTAAAAGAACACAGTGTCACCTCGACCTTCTCCTCCTAAGCAGATCTGGCATCCAGTGTGTTAGTCACAGGGAGAGACTCATGCTGACTGCTGGGGTACTCTGGCTTGCTGTTCAAAAAGCTTGTTATTAGCTGTATTTTAAGATTGTACATTTTGAATGACTCCAAAGACACAGTGTGGCCACAGAGAACTGGGACGTGTTTTTTCTTTAAATATTGGCTTCCCACTGAGCAAGGAGGTTCCTTTTATAAAGAAATGCGTGTTCCTTTGCTGTGCTGCTGGACAAAGCAGGTAGGCTGTTACTGATGGCCCAAGGGTCATGTAGAGCCCCCCTCTCTGCAGGAGTCATCATTCTGGCACTGGGCTTGGAGGTGCTGGTGAGGCCAGTACCAGCTTCCTTTGCCTGAACCACTCTCTCTCTGGAAACCCCCCCTCCACCTCTCCACTCCAAAAACAGCCTTTACAATACTCATTTGAAGATAAGATTGGTTCAAAGCCAGAACCTACTTTCAACCCCACTAATGTGAGTTCTTCCCTGGAAAGACCCCGCAGCTCACCCCAGCACCCTTCTCCAGCTGTGCACCTCCACTTATTACCTACCTGTCAAGGGAAGCATTGACCATTCCCTGGAGCTGAGGGCCGTCAGCCGGCTGGGGCGCTGGCTCTCAGCTCTCTCATGTTCGTGCCTGCCGGGCTTCTGGGAAAAAGACTGAGTGGGAGGATGGAGCCAAACTGGGCTGCAGTTTGAAACCGTCCTGAGCACTGACAGATTTGACTAAGATGAGGGAGAGAGAGGGTTCCTCACAGAGGTAGCCAGAGCTTAAAACGGAGTTGGCAGCTTGCTGTCCAGGGGCTGAGTCTAGCCGTCCACCCAGCTTGTGCCCCAGGACTGGATGGAGACTCTCAGAACTGCAGGAGACACAGACTTGGAGAGTCCTGCTAACCCCTTTCAGCTACTCTCTGAGGGTGCTCCTGGGGTCCCCAGGCTGTCAGACTCCACGAGTGTGGTGCCCCTAGCATTGCCAGGCTCTGAAGGCTTGTCTTCTTTTCCTGAGACTCCAGGCCCCACTCTATTGAAAGACGGCAGCGTGCACACCAAGACAGTCCCACTGCGCTGAGCGACTGTACCTCATGGCGGCTCAGAACACAAGCCCTAGGATTGCACGGACCAGGGTCTGAGTCCCCGCCCACACATCCTACTTGTGTGACTCTGAGCTGCAGTTTCCTCATCCATAAGAAGGGAATAATAATCTCTGTCTCAAGGCTATCGGGAAAGTGAAATGACAGACTGCGTGTAAATCACCGGGCACAGGCCGTAGCTGCTCTATCAATGGTTAAGTAGCTCCAACCACTGTTGTACAGGCTGGCCTGAGAGGTTGGGGGGTGTTGCCCTAACTGCTTTGAAGGATTCAGCCCTAGTCACGGAAGATGGGACGCTCTTTCATCCAGTCTGCTGGAGGAGTGTAATTGAGCTGTCCTCCATGGGAGTGACAAGATCTGGCAAAGACCCCTCTTGGCCAAGCTGTCAGGAAAATGAACCAATCACCTGGGTGGTGTCTGCCCACTCCTTTAGTAAAATGAGGCTTCCAGAGGGCCAGGTTCTCCGTGTGGGTGGAAGGGCAGGCTGGCTTTTCAGGTTGCCATAATTTTGCACATGATCTGCATATGCTTGTGGGGCCCCTGCGCTTTCTCCTGGCATTTCCGAGATGAAATATCGCTGCTTCTCCAGGAAGGCCAGATATTGATTTTTTTCTCCTCCAGTCACTTCTCTAACCACTCTGATTGACCTGGCTCCTTCACCCGGTGAATGAGGAATGAGAGGGTGGAGTGGGTGAGGCAGCGGATGGGGGGAAGGGAGGAGGGACCGTGTCCACCTTAGAGCACGTTCTTCCCCGTGAACCTGAGCCATCAGGGTGATGAGAATGAGCTGCTTCTAGAACCCTGGGGACCCCTGAGGTCCATCCTGGTCTGTTCCTGCCCTGCATCCCTAATCTGGCTCGTGGTGCCCGAGGTCCACTGGCCAGCGTGGTCCAGCGGCCGAGTGGGGAGGCGCAGGGCTGGGGCGGGAGGGGGGAGGGGCGCCGCGACAGCAGAGCGGCTTTGAGGAACCTTGCGAGAGGAAGTGGCTTCCGAACTCCTCTGCTTGCACTGCGAGGGGCAGGAAAGGC